TGATTGCAATAGAAAGAGAAGAATCAAATTTCTGTCTTTAGGAGCTCTCATTGTATAGTACATAACTTAAAAAATATAATACACTTAAAGTTAGGACCGTGTTAATCAACTGGTTCAATTTTAAGTCATCTTTCATTTTCAATGTAGGCCTTTTAATAATATATTTAATAATCAAGATCTTTCTTCTGATACAAGCATACGGAGCCTTTAGGTTATATGGCCTACCAGGAAAAACTTACAGGTTTCATTAGTAAATTTTTTTTTTCTTTTGTCACATTAATATCACAGGGAAGAAAGAGGGTTCACCAAACAAAAATGTATCTACTTTGGAACTTCTTAATTTAGTTCAACAAGTATAGTCAGGAGGCATTTTGCTGAGGAAAAAAAAAAAAAAAGGATGCCCTTACTTTCCCCCCCCCAACTTTATTGGGATATAATTCACATGTGACATTGTATAAGTTTACATCATGTTGACTTGAAACACTTATATTTGCAAAATGGTTACCACCATAGTGTTAGCTAACACCTCCATCATGTCACATTATTATCATTTCTTTTTTGTGTTGAGAATGTTTAAGATTTACTCTTAGCAACAGTCAAGTGTAAAATATATTATTTACTATAATCACTATGCTGTACATGAGATTCCCAGAATTTGCTCTTCTTATAACTGGAAGTTTGGACTCTTTGACCAACATCTCCCCTTTTCCCCTATCCCCCAGCCACTGGTAACTCCCATTCTAATCTCTACCATTGTAATCTTGTTTCTATGAATTAGGCTTTTTTTAGATTTCCCCGATAAGTGATATCAAAATATTCGTCTTTATCTGACTTATTTTACTTAGCATAATGCCTTCAAAATCCATTCCTGTTGTGCAGAATGTCTTTCATTTTCATGGCTTAAATAAACATCTTCTTTATCCATTCGTCATTGATGGACAATTGGGCTGTTTCCATATTCTGGCTATTATGAATAACACTGCAATAAACATAGAAGTGAAGATATCTGAGATACTGTTTTCATTTCCTTTGGATACATAGAACTGGGGCTGCTGGATCATGCAATAATTCTGTTTTTAATTTTTTGAGGAATCACCATACTGTTTTCTTTAGTGACTGCCTTTTCTTTAGTGGTTGCCATAACTACCTTCCCATCAACACTGTACAGGGGTCCCTTTTCTCCCCATCCTCACCAACACTTGTTATTGCTTGTTTTTTTTGATAATGGACATTCTAATATGTATAAGATGATATCTCATTGTAGTTTTGAATTGCATTTCACTGATGATTAATGATGTTGCGCATTTTTCATGTAACTGTTGGCCACTTGTATGCCTTCTTTTGGAAAATGTCTATTCAGTTCTTCTACCCATTTTTAAGTCAGATTTTTTTCATTATTGAGTTGTATGAGTTCTTTATATTTTGTATATTAACCTCTTATCAAACATATGATGGGCTTCCCTGGTGACTCAACAGTAAAGAATCTGCCTGCAATTCAGGAGCCAAAGGAGATACAGGTTCAATCCCTGGGTCGGGAAGATCCTCTGGAGGAGGGCACAGCAAGCCACTCCAGTATTCTTGCCTGGAGAATCCCATGGACAGAGAAATCCCATCGTGGGTTACAGTCCTTGGGTTCACAGAGAGTTGGATATAACTGAAGTGACTTAGCATGCATGGAAACATATGATTTGCAAATATTCTCTTCCATTAAGTAGGTTGTTTTTTAATTTATTAATGGACTTTTTCCTGTAATCCCATTCTTAAAGAGAAAATCCTTGTTTCAGATTTTACATTTTCTTTCTATACCTTCAAGGCAGACTCCTATATTTGAATCCTTACTGTATTTTCAAAGACCTTGCTCCATCTCGTCACCCTGTCCTTCCATAACTTCACTTCCATTCCAGCATTTCTTCCCCAAAGCTTCCCTGGGCCAGGTTCCTTTCCCCACTAGGTCACTCTTCCTTTCCCTCTGTTCTCCTCTGGCTATATTCCCATCCCTTCCTCTTCCCAACTAAACTTTCTGAGAATAATTTTCTTGTTTCCTCTGCTCTCTCATTCCTCTTCACCCACCATCAAACTGCAAAACGACCTGCCTACCCATGTCTCGGCTGAGTATGTCATGAAAAAGCCACCAGTGAACTTCTAATCACAAGGTGACTGTGTTCCTTTTCTGACCTCACCAACCCAAACTGCAATGTACTTATTGTTGATCTGCCATCTTTCTTTAAGGCCACGAGTTCCCATGATAGTTGTGTCCTCCTATTGTTCCTCACACGTACAAGCCTGACTGTTTAATCTCTGTTGTGTGTGGGCATTTCTTATTCTGTCCACTCCTTGAATGTTGGCATTTTGTCTTTAGCTTGGTATTTTTTCATTCATAGGCTCTTCCTGACCACTACACATTTAGGTCTTTAGTACTGAGCATACATACTTTTATATCTTTGTCTCTATCCCAGTCCTTTTTGCAAGTTTCAGATATACAGTCAGGGTTTTGTTGGGCTTGCTGTTACGCATTGAATTGTCTCCCCAAAAGATACTGAAATCCCTCAGTACCAAATGTCACCTCATTTGGAAGTAAGGTCTTTGCAGATAACCAAGTTAAGATAAAGTCATTAAGGTGGGCCCTAATTAAATATGACTTGTATCTTTATAAATTAGGGGATTTATTTTTTGGCTGCATCTGTGACTTGTGGGTTCTTAGTTCCCTGACCAGAGATCAAGCCCCGGCAAGAGCAGTGAAAGTGCTGAATCCTAACCACTGGACCACCAGAGAATTCCCCAAACAGGGAAATTCTGACACAGAGACAGATATGTAGAGAGGGGAGAAGAGACGAAGACACACAGAGAAAGCTATCTACATGCCAAAGCATGCCTGGAAGAGAGACATGGGACAGATTCTCTCTCACAAATCTCAGAAGGAACCAGCTCTGCTGACATTTTGCTTTTGGACTTCTAGAAATGTGAGACATAAATTACTACTGTTTAAGTTACAAGCCTGAGGTATTTTGTTATGGCAGCCCAGGAAAGTTATACATACACCTGCTTATTTACCCCACTTTTACTACTAATTCATGTCTCAAAGTCAAATCATTGTCTTCCCCCTGAAAAGAACTCTTCCTGAATTCTCTGGCTTAGTTATTCAGACCACTCTATCCCATATCTAAGGTTAGAGGCCCAGGACTCCTATCTCCTCTCTTCTCCTGCATCCATCTAACCCAATGCCATGATCTTTCAATTCTACCTCCTGAACATTATTCATGTCTCTCTTCTTTCCATGCCAGCTCTTCGAGCCCTAGGTCAGTCCTCAATGCTGCTGTGTGGACCACTAACTAGTCTCCCTGATTCTGGAACTGAGCCAGCATATGCTATCTATAGAGAAAATCTGCCCATGTCACTATCAATGCTAGGACACTCTTCAAGCTTTTTAACATGGCAAACAAGACCTCCTTGCTCTGTCACACTCACCTCCCTACCTTAATCTTCTGTCCTTCACTAACTGACCATCTAGGCAAGTGAGTCCCTTTAGCATCCATCCTTTTTCTTGCTTTCATGCTTTTGCATAAGCTGTTCTCCAACATGGGAAATTTTACCATAACCCTCATTTAACATATAGATCAGGAATTACTTGCAGAAGATCTCCCCTTTGTTCTTTAGTTTAGGATTAGAACCCCTCATCTGGTGTCCTCTAATGACCTGTATGTTCCCCTGCTATTGTACCTAAGATAATGCACTGCCACATATTATTATGTCTATCTTCCACATTTGAATAGGGACTGTGTCTAATTTACTTGAGTGTTCCAAGGGTTTAGATTCTAGACTATGGAAAATCTTCTTTATCCTTGTCTTAAATTTTCACACAGAACTAGTGTCCATAACATTACTTCTATACAAAATAACTTAATGGCTATAATCTATTCTACATGGTAAAGATCACCACAGGGAGCAACCTAGAATGTAGTTCTGGTCCCTCTGAACATGCTATGACCTACTGACACCCACAAATTATAATTTAAAGAAATACTGATCTATTTCACGTTTTGAGCTTTATATATGACTCTACTGAAATCATTGGATCCTAGAAGGAGAAACATTGCAGACTCATAGTGGGTAATTTGAGGACAGTGTTAAATGAGACAATTACATAGGGCTGAGACGGTGGGAAGAAAACCATAAGATATTCCAGGGCTTGCAACATAAAGGCCAAAAAAAAAAAGGCTTGAAAGGACAGGGGGAGAGAGAAGTTACAAGAAAGTATGTAGAGAGTTGTTTGCTAGGAGCTGTGAACTGCAGAGGAAGGATCACCCACCTGCAGTCTCCACGGGGAGGAACAGTAGAGATAAATACTCTTATCCTCACTCTCCTGCCTCCACTGAAAATCCAGCAGAAGCCAGTAGAGAAAGTGTGGGGTGCAAACCACACAGGTCAGCCTCCTGGGGCCTGAGCAGGATGGAGGGGAGTGGAGCACGCAAAGGAAGGAACACGTGGACAATACTGAGCCCAACAAATATAAATCGGTGTTCGTTTTTGCAAACAGGAGGAACCATTGCCTTAGTGAGGTTATTGCCCTGCATTAAGAGTTTCAAAACATTGTTTCCTGTTTAGAGATCCAAAATCTATGAATCTAGCATACTGGCTCCCATACATCAGCTTCTCTGAATGCATTGTTAATTCCATGAAGATGACAACTTTTTTCTTGTCTATCATTTTATTTGGATTTTCACTCATCTTATATTTTCCTCAAAAAGAAGTCTGAGTAAAATAAAGAAATGATCTCAGATTTGAAAATAGCTACAGCAAAGAAAATTTTTTTCTGTTTGTCCACCACTGAAGCCTTCTCATTTATGAAATAAAGTACCTAATGACTTTCCATCCAAAGTGGGGTAACTAAGAAAGAAAAATGACATAGAGTTAAACATGTAATACTCCAATGTAAAATAAAAATTAAGTTTAAATAGTGCTTCTGTGGTTTTAACCATAGATGAAATCATTACTCTTTACCTTCATAAATGAGTAAGTTTTCTTTCTTTAGCCCAGTCTTGGACATCTGCTTTTCCAAAGATAAGATAGAATATCAGTCCTAATGTGTTAATGACAAATGACAAGGAAAAGACATTCCTCCACCCAAATTCAGGGTCCTGAGGAAACAAAAGTTCAAGTAAGTATTACCCCTTTTATTCCCTTTTCCTATAAAACTCACATTAAAAGTTTAGAAGACAATGTTCACCAGTGGATCTTCATGTATAAATTCATTTCCTAAACACAGCTTAATAATCTGATGGAAAGAATTTCAAAATGGATTCAGAATGTTCTTCATAAAACCACTACAATATTGTAATTAGCCTCCAATTAAAATAAATTAATTTTTTTTAATGGACTTAGAGACTTTTATATTTAACCTCCAGAATTGCATTTGTCATTATTTATCAAAGTGCCAAACACTTTCTCTTTTGTGCGAATCATGACTCTCTCTATATATATATTTACATACATATATATATATACACTAATAAAATTTCTTCTTCTCCAGTGCAAGAATCTTGCAAGAAGATGACTGTGGGTTTTGAAGCTAGATAGGTCTAAGAAGAATTCTGATTCTACATCCTCTCAATGGAAAGACATATTCTATCATATTTTAATTATCAGGAAATAAGGATATTAATACTTTTTTTTCATAATTAGTATGAGAATCAATAACTTAGATTACTGTTTAGGAAATACCTATAATACTCCCTGCATATATCAGACACTTAAACATATTTGCTTTCATTACCTCTTTGCTTTTGTATGGTTATGCAAATGAAAATTTCAAAGTGTTGCAGAAGACATGATAAGTTGCATATATGCATGGATTCATCATCTTCTCATAGGACATGTATGTCACTGTGTGATTTCGAAGACTAGAAATTACCAGCGGATCACCAGGGAGTGCTTTGGTTTCAGAATGAGGTCACAAAAGAGACTGTTCTGTATTTTCCTTTGCTACGTTGATCTTCATGACAAAGCTACTCATGATTTAATTTTATTCTCCAAAATGTGAAAATGTTTTTTATGCTATTATTGTTATGAGTGGATTTGGCAGAGCATTTTAAGAAACCCTGACAAGAAAACCTTACCTGACTGAGAAGAAATCCACTGACAGTGGGTGCCAGGACAGCAGATAGCTGTGCAAATGCCCTTGACATTCCCATGAGAAAACTAGAATGCCTGTGGGTGACAGGAATGTTTCAGGCTAGATCCACATTTGTTTGGCAGCATGCTTCAGCCCCGGAATGTATCATATATTAATAGCAATTATATCAAAAAGACTTGCTCTGTCTATGTCCAATGAAAGCACTGAGGCAAATAAATAATGCCCTTCCCTCCACATACCTGAAAATGGCCACAATCATCATCACCCATGATTTATAATTTTGTGAAGTTTGAGGCTTCCAGAAGTCTGCAGGCTAAATTTTTTTCAGAAAATATGAAAATGAGTGGAGATTACAGTCCTACCTTGGAGCAATATCTAAGGCATTGACATAGATCCCTGGCTGACATAACAGGCCTAGTCCACAGGAGAGTGTCAGAAGGCTCACTGCTATGATATAGTTGGAGGCAACGAATGGCAGAACCAAAAGGAATGTTGAGGAGGGGAGATTTCCTAAGGAATGAGGAACAGACAAATTAAGCAACAAACATTTTTGGATGTTGTATGCCTTGTGAATTATCAGACATTTTGGCCCTGTTCTTACCTAGAACTGTGGCAATTTTCCTCACTGTAACAAGCCTAAAATTCTTGGTCAGAAGGAAATCTGCCAGGTAACTTCCCAGGAGGCAAACGACCCAGGCAATAATAAAAGGAAGGGCAGACAGGAAACCACTCTGAAGGGAAAACATTGAGTAAACCATCATAACAAAGGCCGTGAGACCACAACCTTATACTGATAAATCACTAATAATCCTACTAGCAACTCTGAAATCATACTTTCCTAAGAAAATCAGTGGTCCCTTCCATCATACCTTCAGAAAAGCTACTCACATTACTGTTAAATTATTTCTTGGTAATAAAAGATAAATTTTTCTAGATGAATGATTTGTGAAGACAGAGTAATTTGAGAGTCGTGCAAACAGGAAAAATGGTTGGAGGGAAATATACTCACATTTCTAATATCAATGTTGAACACAGAACTAATGTAAGTTGGTGCATATATAGTTATTACATTAATTAACCACTGATGGCTGAAACAGCAAACACACATGGACCAGAGGGGTAGAGATCTGACCATAGCTTTGATGGGAAGAGGCTGCTTAGTAGAGCTGACCTGAAAACAAATTTACTGATCAGAATAGTAAGATCTGAGACATGTTCACATGTTCGTAGTCACTCTGATAAATTCAGATGCTGATATAAGACCTCTGGAGAAGGTTGGAGTTTTATGTGTACCTGTTGGGCCAAGGAGGATAGGATATATTCTTTCTCTGTAATGTTTATCCATGGATGAGCGATGGGTTCATCATAAACCAAAACACACCAGAGAGGAAAGCAGACACAGCCAAAACCTCCTGCAAGCAGAGATTAAATTGGTAAACTTCTGTGGGAATTTCACCTCAATTGGAACATTTTTCTGGCATGGATCCTGGCAAAAGCTCTTGCTCATAATATCTTCTTTCCACTTCTCAAAAAATTCACATGAATATCACAGCTTTTTTAATAAGTCTAGAACCTATTGTTTCACATTTCTTGATTATTTGTGTGCATGAAAATCACAGACCCTAGAAATGGCATTAAACTTGGTATCTCAACTTCTTAAGAAGTAGAAGCAGTAACAGATTTTATTTTCTTGGGCTCTGAGATCACTGCAGATGGTCACAGTCATGAAACTGGAAGATACTTGCTTCTTGGAAGGAAAGCTATGACAAACCTAGACAGCATATTATAAAGCAGAGACATCACTTTGCTGACAAAGGTACCTATAGTCAAAAGCTACAAGCTTTTCCAGTAATCAGGTACAGATGTGAGAGCTGGATCATGAAGAAGGCTGTATACCAAAGAATTGATGCTTTCAAATTGTGGTGCTGGAGAAGACTCTTGAGGGTCTCTTGGACTGCAGGAGATTAAACCGGTCAATCCTAAAATAAATCAACCTTCAATGTTCATTGAAAGGACTGATGCTAAAGCTGAAGTTGTAATACTTTGACCACTTGGTGTGCACAGCTGACTCCCTGGAAAAGACCCTGATGCTGGGGAAAGATTGAAAGCAAAAGTAGAAGAGATTGGCAGAGGATGAGATGATCAGATAGCATCACTGAGTCAATGGACACAAACTTGAGCAAACTCCATGAACTAATGGAGGACAGAGAAACCTGGTGTGCTGCAGTCCATGGGGTCACAAAGAGTCAGACATTACTTAGCAATTGAACAACAACAACAAAGGAAAACTATATATCTACTCACAACACTTCTGACACTATCTGTGTTGGTTTTTCACACTAAGAAAGTCTCTAATTCTCTTCATACACCAAGCTAGTGTCCTACAATTTAGGCCAATTCTGACAGTATCTGGCATTAGCACAGACCCTACAGAGTAAGGACTCAGTCACACAGACTGCCTCCTACTTCAGATACTAAGTGCAACTAATGAGCCCCCAAATTAAAATTTCCACACTTACGTTCAACTTTACTACAAATTCTGAGGTTCCTGCAACTCCCTCTCAGTTTGATAATTTGGTGAAACAGCTCACAAAACTCAGGGAAATATTCATTTTTATTTACTGGTTTAATATAAAGGGACTTCCCTGGTGGCTCAGACAATAAAGCGTCTGCCTACAGTGTGGGAGACCCGGGTTCAATCCCTGGGTTGGGAAGATCTCCTGGAGAAGGAAATGGCAACCCATTCCAGTAATCTTGCCTGGAAAATCCCATGGATGGAGGAACCTAGTAGGCTACAGTCCATGGGGTCACAAAGAGTAAGACGTGACTGAGCGACTTCACTTCACCTTCACTTTATTGTAAAGGACATGATAAAGGTTCATAACAAGTGAACAGCCGGATGCCATGAATAGGGTGGGATCTGGAAGGGTCCTGAGTGTAGAAGCTTCTGACCCTGTGGAGTTGGGCACGTGCTCCCCTTCCCGGCATGTGGGTGTGTTCATCAACCTGGAAGCTCTCAGAACCCTATAGCTTAGGGATTTTAAGGAGGCTAAATCATGTAGGTATGCAATGCTGTGTTTAGTCGCTCAGTTGTGTCTGACTCTTTGCTACCTCATGGACTGTTGGCCCACGAGGTTCCTCTGTCCATGAGGATTCTCCAGGCAAGAATGCTGGAGTGTGTTGCCATTCCCTTCTCCAGGGGATCTTTCCAACCCAGGGATCAAACCCATGTCTCCTGCATTGCAGGTGGGATTCTTTACCATCTGAGCCATAACTAATTATTAATACAATCTGAAGCACCCTCTCCTCCCAGGAATATGGAGGGTGGGGCTAAAAGTTCCAAGTTTCTAATCATGGCTTGGTCTTTCTGGTGGCCTCCATGCTGAAGCTATCCAGGAGGCCACCAAAAGTCACCTCATTAGATGAAAGATGCTCCCCTAACTCTATGTAGTTCATTCTGGATGGTTTCTGTTGTTATTTTTAAGTTCATTAATTATTTCTTCTGTTGTATTATCTGTCATTAATTCAATCCTTATAATGTAGTTTTATCTCTAGAAGTTTGATTTAGGGTCTTTTAAAAATATGTTTTGCTTGTCTTAACTTCTGAACAAATAGAGTTATGTTATAATATAGTTATAATAACTATTCTTGTGTGCTAATTCTAACATTTGTGTCAGTTCTGGGTTGGTTTTGATTGATTAATTATTCTCCTTGTTATGGATTATGTTGTCCATGCCTGGTAACCTATGGTTGGAGCCATTATGGAATTCAGCATAACATGAACTATATTTTGTTGGGTGCTAAATATTTTTGTATTTCTATAAATATTTTTGAGCTTTGAGATACAGTTAAATTACATGGAAACACTGATCCTTTTAGATCTATCATCATCATTTGTTAGAGAGATCCACAATAGTGTGTTCCCTGGAGCTAATTATTTCTCACTACTGAGGAAAGACACTTATGAGAATCCTGCCCAATGAGCCAAGAATTAAACATTTTTTCAGTCTGCTTTGTGGAAACAGGCACTAGCCACGATGCTCTAGAAGTACTGGGACACGATTCTTTAATCTTTTCCAATGATTTCCATCCTCCCCTGTCCTCAGATATTGTCCTCACACGTATACCCAGATCGGAGCTCTGCAGAGTATCAAGGAGGACTCTGCAGATAGCCAGGGCTTTCTGTGTGTGCAGGTATCTCCGGTTAGGTGCTCTTTCCTGTTGGCTATACCTGCCTTACTCTCTCAGGGCTCTTAGCTCCACCTCCTCAACTCTGATTCTTCTGCGTCTCACAAACCACTGCTTTTCAGGTTTGTCCCCTACTTCCTGCTAAGGCAGCAGAGTTTGCCCAATCACTCTGCATTAATAATGCATCATGGTTGACGTCTTTGGTGGTCCAGTGGTTGGGAATCCACCTGCCGATGCAGGGGACTCAGGTTTGATCTCTTTTGGGGGAAGATTCCATGTGCCATGGGTCACCTAAGCTTGTGTGCTACAACTACTGAAGCCTGTGCACCCTAGAACCTGTGCTCTGCAACGAGGGGCCACTGCAGTGAGAAGTTCATGCACTGCATTGGATAGAGAGTAGTCCCCGCCCACCATGACCAGAGCAAGTCCACACGCAGCAATGAAGATCCAGCACAGCCAAAATTAATTAATTAAATATTTTAAAAATGCATCATGGCAGTTTAACAGCATCATAGGCAGAAGAACTCCCAAATTCTTTGATGGCGTAGGTTCATTCTTCCCAACTATTATATTAAGACATTTTGTTTTACTAGAATCTTTCTATCTTGACTCATTTCTTCCAGAAAAGTACACACAGTTAGATATCAGAAGAGTCACCTTAGATATGAAAACCTGGGAGTAGGGAGATAGTAGCTTACCAAATATATAGAAGACAAAAGGCCACCCGAGGGTTTGACTGATGATGCCACCCAGCAGGATGGCAATGGAGGTTCCCAGCAGCAATCCTGCAAAGAGAGAATAAGGCCGTGGGGGCTAGACTGCCACCCACTAGGTGCCTTCAAAAGGACAGGTGACATAATAGAGAGCACTATCACCATAAAGAGATGAGCATGGTAGAATATATATATGAAAGTCAAATTTGTGATTGAGTTCATAGGTTCTCCTAAAGACCCATTTTTCTGGCAGTTCCCTAGTATCACTGTAGATGACAACTATGCTTTTATGCTATTTTAATTTTTAATTACACAATTCATATAACATATATGCTTATTGTAAAAGTAAGTTACCACAATGAACCAAATGCCCCACCAATCCATTTCTACTCTTTTCTCTAATGTTAACCAGGAGCTACAATTTATTACATGATGTATAATTGCATACTTTTCTTCTCTGTACACATACATAATATATACTGATATGCACATGTTGCTTTGTAAATGTATTTATGGAATATGTAGACGGCAAGTTAGATACATTTGCCTATTAATATGCTAACAACACTTTTATTTCCATGGCTTTACAGAGTATTCACATATAATGTGGGCACATTTTCCTTTTAAAACTTTTTCAAAACTAGACTATTAGGTTTTTAAAATTTCCCAGATGAACATTAACTGGTCAAATTTTATATATATGTATGTGAGTTATTATTAACTTTAAATAAGTAGGACATAGGTATAATAATGTACCTATTGTCCCATGACATTTATTTTTTAGTTGCAACTGGTCTTGTAAATATTTCCATGTCACTCTAGATTCTACAGCCATTGTAATTTCTGAACATAAACTAAACTATCACTTCTGAACATAAACATAATTTATTTCTAAATAGTAAAATATCAGCAGTAGACTTGCTAAATCATAGATTGTACATTTTTTATTTTGACAGATACTGCTGAAGTATCCTGCTAAAAGTCCATACCAAATTAAGTTGCCAACAAATACTTGTTCCTCATCTCTTGACAACATTGGACATCCTCAAAATTCTAATATAGTTTTCCAAATGTGAATATAAAACAGTATACCTTTTTTCTTTTTATAGTGAAGTTGAATTATTTTTCCTATGTTTGTCATTTTTTATTTCTTCTGTGAAAAGTCTGTTCATAATCTTTTTATTTGTTTCTTTCACTTTGCCGCAATTTATAGAACCTTTATGTGTTATAAATAACCCTCTGTCATGCTGGCTGCAGTTCTCTTCTCCCACTTTTAACTTTGTTTATGGTGTGTTTTGTAATCCAGCAGTTGTAAGTTTTCATGGGGTTCAGATCTATGAGGTTCCTCTGTAATGACTTCTAGACACTCATTTGCTTAAAAGGGCTTTCCCAATCCCACAGTTAAAAAAAAAAAAGATCACTTATGTTTTTCTTCTCATTTGGCCATGCAGTTTGTTGAACCATCTTATCTGTGTTACCTCCTTAAGCACCAATATCCAAATTTACAATTGAGGAAATAGAAACATGGAAAAGTTAATTAACCACCCCAAGGTCATACAATTAATAAGACGGAAAGGCAGCATTTGAAATGAGACTGCCTGACTTCAGGACACAAATCAATGAAGATGGAAATCAGTACCTTTTTCCACCACTGCATCCATCAAAGCTGTATTCTTTTCTCTAAACTCTCTGCCTTTATGCCAGTTATAATGGGGGACAGGTCACTGCATCAGTCCAAAACCTGGGCCCTTCTTGTTCTTTCCACCTCTTTGCACCCTATCTTAAATGTATTAACTCACCCCATTTTCCTTCTTACATCTTACTCTGTGTTTTAAATTGGCTTGACAAACTGCAATTATAACACCTGTTTTTTGTCTGTGAGCCTAACTATTCCATGATTCCTGGCTTGGTTGTGTACCTGGGACTACCACTGCATTGAGGCAATTTCCCCATGATAGATATGCTTTATTCATTCAACATTTCTGTTACTAAGACTTATTCATGTTGTTGCATTCAGCTATTCATATTCATTGCTGTATGATATATGATCCTTAGATTAAAGGTGTGTGTATGTGTGTGTGTTTCCATTACCTATGAGACCTGCCTCAAATGTGAGCTACCAAATCTGTTTAGTCTGCTTACTCTTCTTCATTAATTTATTGAGCTCCTCAAGTGGTTACAAAGCTTCCTACCTATAGGTGTACCTTTGTGGGACCGTTAGAAGAAAATACAGTACATTTTGTCCTAGAGGCTAGCAGTAGCTGGGCTCTTCCGCTAAGGACTTCCCCAGTGGCTCAGTTGGTAAAGAATCTGTCTGCAATGCAGGAGACCCAGGTTCGATTCCTGGGTAGGGAAGATCCCCTGGAGAAGGAAATGGCAACCAACTCCAGTATTCTTGCCTGGAGAATTCCATGGACAGAGGAGCCAGGCAGGCTATAGTCTGTGGGAAGAATTGGACACAACTGAGTGATTAACTTTCACTTTCTTCTAAGGATAGGTACTTTTCTGAAAGTCCTCCTCCAACCTCAAGAGCTGAGTGATGCTGTCCTTAGTGCAGCCTACTAGGGAGCCCCAGCATGAGTGGAAATGGTAATTTCTCTGAGAATCACTGAAGTAGGCAGGTAGGTTCAGTTCACTCCACCTGTTCATGGGTTCCTCCAATGATTTTCTGTCTGGGCCTCCCAGACAACCATAAGTTCTGTGTTCCCAGCACCAGGTTCTGGAGGCCATCTACCTGGGGCTGCTAAGATTCCCCAAAATCAAAGACAAGGGAGACTCTCGAACTTGCAGTCTTGTACGTTCCCAAGATTCCTCTAGACAGTCAGTTGACCTATCCCAGGTGCTCTGTCCCTATTTAACAGGAAATGAGAAGAAAAGGAGTTGTCACTTTTATAAGGTCACTGCTTTCATTTGAGTCTTTAAAATTTTCTTTCGTGCTTTCCAACTCCTGAATTTCTTGTACTGTATTCTGGAACAATATCTCAATATTTGTCCAGTTCACTGATGAGATGGCCTTAGCCTCATATAGGTATTCAGATTTCTCATTTCAACTAAAAAATACTAGCAGTAATATTTTTAATTAGCACCTATTCTTTTTTTTAAGTGAATGTCATGTACACATATCTCCCTGGATCTCTCTGATATTATTCATTAATTATTTAAAATCTTCTCTTTTTCATTTGGATTAATTGCAGTTTTTGAGTTTGGTTTCTCTCTTTCACTCTCTTGATTTTCTCCAAATTTTTGAGGATTTAAGAAGACCATTCCTTATTTATATTTGAGGACATCCCTTAGTCAGCTGTGGTAACCAAAGTGAATCTCCTTAGTCTAAACTGGAGCTCCACTCCCCTACCAGTGGATGTGAGCTCTGATGACAAAGATTAAACCTCTGGAGTTGTGAAGGGCTCTCGAAAGGCATAAGGTCAGGTGGGTGTGTGTGTACATGGCTTGTTGTCTGGACTTGAAGAGTCCTTGGCTCTCTAACTCAGCACTTAGACTTTGGCCATCTACAATGTGTTAGAGATGTCCATCACCAAAGGTTGTATATTGTCACCCTGCTTATTTAACTTATATGCAGAGTACATCATGAGAAAGGCCAGGCTGGATGAAGCACAAGCTGGAATCAAGATTGCTGGGAGAGATATCAATAACCTCAGATAAGCAGATGACACCACCCTTATGGCAGAAAGTGAAGAACTAAAGAGCCTCTTGATGAAAGTGAAAGAGGAGAGTGAAAAAGCTGGCTTTAAACACAACATTCAAAAAACTAAGATCATGGCATCTGGTCCCATCATTTCACGGCAAATAGATGGGGAAACAGTAGAAACAGTGACAGACTCTTTTCTTGGACTCTAAAATCACTGCAGATGGTGACTGCAGCCATGAAATTAAAAGATGTTTGCTCCTTGGAAGAAAAGTTATGACCAACCTAGACAGCATATTAAAGAGCAAAGACATTTCTTTGCTGACAAAGGTCTGTATAGTCAAAGCTATGGTTTTTCCAGTAGTCATATATGGATGTGAAAGTTGGACTATAAAGAAAGCTGAGCACCGAAGAATTGATGCTTTTGAACTGCAGTATTGGAGGACTCTTGAGAGTCCCTTGGACTGAAAGGAGATCCAACCAGTCAATCCTAAAGGAAATTAGTCCTGAATATTCATTGGAAGGACTGATGCTGAAGCTGAAACTCCAATACTTTGGCCATCTGTTGCAAAGAACTGACTCCTTAGAAAAGACCTGATGTTGGGAAAGACTGAAGGCAGGAGTAGAAGGGGACAACAGAGGATGAGATTGGTTGAATGGCATCACTGACTCGATGGACATGAGTTTCAGTAAGCTCTGGGAATTGGTAATGGACAGGGAAGCCTGGCATGCTGTAGTCCATAGGGTCTCAAAGAGTCAGACACAATTGAGTGACTGAACTGAACTGAATGTGTTAGCCATACTGTTTCCATTTGCCATTACTCCTTAGTGTAACTGATATTTCTTCCTCTGGAGTTTTCATTCCAGGCACACTGTCCAGGCAGATCATTATCAGAAAGCTGTTCTAAGGACAACTGAGAGCAATTCCAAAGAAGATTAAGTTGGATCCATGCCTTACACTCAACACTAGTATAAATCCCAGTATGTCATAAATTTAAATATAAAAAAATGAAACCATGCATAGTCAATAAAAGCCATGGTTGGATGCTTTTGCAACATTTCTAACTATGATTCAAAGTCCAAAAACCATAAAATAAAAGAACGATCAATTTGACTACATCAAAATGCCTTTTTGAAAAATGGCAAAAATCATTATAAGCAAAATCAAATCACAAATGATAGCCTGGGGAAAATAACTGAAAGTCATGTGAGAGACAAAGGACCCATCCCCCTAATTTATAAATACTTGATCAACATTAAGCAGAAGACAAAGAATCTTGTAATGAAAAAAAAAGTGGTCAAAAAAGACAAACTGTCAAAGAACTCAGTGAAAGAATGTTGGATTGCAGTGGACTTGTTTCAGTTATATGTTTTTACCTGATATAGCAACGCCACAGAGTCGACTTCGTTCATGTGGAGGACTCCATCTTTCCCAGATTGCAAACTGACCCCCATATCCTAACCCCTGAAATAAAAATAGAGTTGTTGATACATGGTCCCACAGAGAAATTCATATTCAGTCATATTTATAAAATATCTGGGTACCAGGCTCATGCCCTGAAGTATTCGAGTTGCAGTGAGGAAAACTAGTCCAAAGTCAGCTGCCAGAGGGGTGAAAAGAACAAGAAGGGAGGATCCAAGCAGAGCAGCACCAACCACTCGTTTTGTTCCTACTCTTCCAGCCAGGTACCCACTGGGAGCCAGTGTCAGAATCATGCCATAGTTGATAGCACTAAAGATGATGCCCTGGATTTGAGGGTTCCAATCATACACAGGGGCCTTAAAGAAAAAGACAATGCTTTGTAAGCCATGCATAGGAAGGTTCTTTCATAACTTAAGAAGCTTCTTTAGATTTTTCACTTACAAATCAGTTTCCTCAATTAAAACTTTTTAACACACAAATTAGAAAAATATGGGCAGGGAGGTGGGAGGGGTGTTCAGGAAGGGAATAATGTACACGCATGGCTGATTCATGTCAATGTATGGCAAAACCCACTACAATATTGTAAAGTAATTAGCCTCCAATTAAAATAAATAAATTTTAAAAAAATTCTAGAAAAATAAACATTGAAATAAACAGCAAAAACAAAAACATAACTTGAATCTTTCATTGCTTACCCCTGCAGGAAGACTCTTTGGAGAATTATTTGGGTCACCAAAGGAATCAATAGGCAACCCCTCAGTGGAGTCATTAAATGAGGGCTGATGGGTTGTGCTGTTGACCATGGCTACCATGGTGATATTCATGATAATATTTTGTGCCATTATTATGAAGTTGCAGAGGTGTACCATGAAGGCTATTCCATAGCGAGTGGAACAAATGCCAGGAGCTAGAAATATTAAGACAGTGTATTAGTACTTTCCTTATCAAACCTTTATTTACTTTTCACAAGTTAAAATACAGAAAGGTATCACCTGATGATTCAAATGCACTTCTATTGGCTTTGGGAAAGAAAGATTACAAAAAGAGGAAACCGTTGAGTTGAGTCAAAGGATGTTTTATACCACAGTTTTATAGACCCTGACTTTTTCTGGGGAGTTCTGTTCTTGCAATTTTGTCTTTCCAATTCTTAGGTTATTGTAGTCTGTGGCTGATGAAATTACTCATAGTTAAATATATAAAGATATGATATATATTAAAAGTAAATATATACATAAAAATAAAATATGTATATGTATATATACTTAAATTATATAATTTATAAGTACTACATTATATACATATATACATAGATAACGTAAATTTTTAAATATTGAAAGAGTTGTTCACTGGTGTAGAGTTCACTGGTTCTCATCTGTCTTAGTGAGGGCAAACTTTCACTTAAGTTTTGAAATTAAACCTATAAGTTTTCTCATTAGAAAAAAATTGACACTCACAAACTATGAAAAAATATAGTAAAAAAACAGAAAAAGAAATGAACACAAAATTAAAATAATCTGTTTTTGTACTTTCAGGAAAGATGGCTATTGCCAGGAAGAAAGTATTACAACAATTCAGAAGAGAAGCGAAGAACCGTAGACCAGGTTGGCAACTGTAGAACTAAGATATGATAAGATCCCAGACAGGTCCCAGTAGGTGAGTAACTGAATCTTGGTTTCAAGTTTACAGATTGGGGGAGGGGCATTGGAGGGATTCTTATTCTAAACAGCAGGAAGAATGGGTTTGGCTGTTCACTGAGGAAGAGATCTGTGGAAAAAGAAGGTTTGAGGCAGTGGAGTGATAAAGAACTTATTATTGGACAATTAAGACAAGGATGTCTTTTAAGCACTCAGGAGATGCTGAGAATATTGTTGGATATAAAACTCTAGAGTTTAGGAGAGATGTAGAGGCTGAGGCATAACACTGGGATTTAATAATCTACAGATAATACTTGAAGCCATGATATTTAGAAAATGAGAATAAATAGAGAAGATAACCAAGGACTGACTCTAGGGTTCTCCAACACTTGGAGGCTGGATAAATGGGGAGAAATTGGCAATAGAAACTGAAAAATAAGGGTAGGTGGGATAGGAGAAAACCAGGAAGAATATGGTGACCTCAAAGCCAAGGTGTAAGGGGCTACAGCTAGGAGGGAGTCAGAAGGTATGTCAGATATTTCTGGTAGGTTATGTAACATGATGACTGAGAATTAACTCATTTAACCTTCACAACAATCCTATGAGGCAGCTACTGCTACAGGTGCAGAGAGGTCAGCTAACAGAATAGCTCAGGTGTCTATGCTCTTATCCACTGTGCTGTCTGTATATGGTGGCTCCTATTTTGTCGCAGATGATTCCATGAGAATACCTTTGCCACAACCCCAGTGCCCTATAGGGTTTGTATGACGACATGGTGTAGGAGAGGAGGATAATACTATGTATTGTCAAGAAGTCTTCAAAACTTCAAGAAAAGAAGTGCCTTGAGGTCTACAAAAGAGCCTTTCCCTCAAGGCTATACTCTCTTAAAGTGAAGTGAAGTCGCTTAGTCATATCCGACTCTTTGCCATCCCATGGACTATAGCCTACCAGGCTCCTCAGTCCAAGGAATTTTCCAGGCAAGAGTACTGGAGTGGGTTGCCATTTCCTTCTCCAGGGGATCTTCCCAACCCAGGGATTGAACCCGGGTCTCCGCACTGTGGGCAGATGCTTTACCTTCTGAATCTTTTCATTGAATGGAGGGAAGGAGGAGAAATTTGGAAGAAACTGGAAAATACACTGTAATTAAATGAGGAGTTAAAAAATAATATAGTTTTAATAAAGTTTTCCTTTTTCAGGAATGGATGATGATTTCCAATGTCAATCAGATCAGCTAATAATTTATCAGTTCTTGTGGCCTCTGATTTCTCCAATGTATTTGGGGATCATAGAGGCCAAAGGCTATTAAAAAGCATTATCAGCAAACCAGGTGACTAGTGGTTCACAAATGGGTGGAGTGAAGATCCGCCTCATGTGATTGCTGAAAGATCCACTATAGAGTATATTTAAAAGGCTTAGTCTGCTGCTTGCTGCATATTAAGTGTTCCCTACAGCCTACTATATGTGTGCTAAATCTTTGTGTCTTTTTGACTGCCCTGAGCAGTTTGCGGACTCTTAATTCCCTGGTCAAGGATCAAACCCAGGTCCCCTACAGGAGAAGTTCAGAGTCCTAACCTCTGGACCGCCAGGGAATTCCCACTATATGTGTCCTTAAAAATGGTTTCCTGTGTCTAGTGAAAATATATGAAAAATAATGTTGGTGCAACATCTCATATGTTAAATTTTTAAAAGTCAGTATATAATACAAAAATACTGCATTTGGTCAAATTGACTTAAGGTACATCATTTTTGTTCCACTAAGAATCAACTGATCAACTAATCAACAAATCAAACTTAATAGATCCAAAACTAAATTCCTATGTTCCCCGTCCCAATCCTGCTCCACCCAAATTGCTTTCCAACTCAGCTGACAGAAATACCATCCTTCCAAATACTTTACAATTTATCCTTGATTTTTCCCCCATAGCCTACATCTCATCTACCTAGAATAGAGTGTTGTCTTTACATTCAAAATGTACACAGAATTCTACAGCATTTGCAGTGCTCTACTTATACCATGATGGCTTCCCTGGTGGCTCAGATGGTAAGGCATCTGCCTACAATGCAGGAGACCCGGGTTCAATCCCTGGGTCAGGAAGATCTCCTGGAGAAGGAATTGGCAACCCACTCCAGTATCCCGTGGACGGAGGAACCTGGTAGGCTACAGTCCATGGGGTCACAAAGAGTCAGACACGACTGAGCGACTTCACTTTCTTTTCTTTCACTTATACCATAAATTTGGTCACACTCTTTTCTGCTCAAACTTCTCTATGTGGCCTCATTTTGTTCAGATTAAAAACTAAGGTCTCTATAATGGCCAGTGGAAATGAAATATTTGTAACCATTGCTTTAGATTTGTATTTTTCTTAGGAAAAAGGCCTGAGGAAGTACTAATTCCAACTGTAGACAAGTGTTATGTTAAAGGATATCATGAGATGTATATATACATGTATTGGAAAGGAAAATGGCAACCCCCTCCAGTATTCTTGCCTGGGAAATCCCATGGACAGAGGAGCCTGGTGGGCTACAGTCCATGGGGTCACAAAAGAGTCAGAAGTGACTTAGTGACTAAACAACAACATATATGTGTGTGTGTGTACACATGCACATACACACAGATATGTTATATATAATATATACAATGTTATATCTATGTAACTACATCTATCAGTTAATCTATGTATATGATATGCTAAGTCGCTTCAGTTGTGTCTGACTCTGCAACCCTATGGACCATAGCCCGCCAGGCTCCTCTGTCCACGGGATTCTCCAGGGAAGAATACTGGAGTGGGTTACTATGCCTTTGTCCAGGGAATCTTCCCAACCCAGGGACTGAACCCACAGCTCCTGCGGCTTCTGCATTGCAGGAGGCTTCTTTACCGCTGAGTCACTGGGATAGATAAGCAAAAAAAAAAAAAGAAAAAAAGCAGCTACACAACTTAAATATACAACCCCAGGAAGAATTTTCAGGCAAATATACTTTCTCTGTTGGATAAACAGGAAAAATAATATGTATCATTTAAGAATAATGATTATAAGGCAAACAGAAACATGTGTGATCCAAAATACACAACATAATATATACATCACAGAATTATGTAAAATATACATATAAAGAGAGACAATAAAAACATCACAGTGGTTGAATTAAGCTTATTAATTTTTTCATTTCTTGATTTTTCAAGGTTTCTGTAATTAATTTTTTAAATTTTCCTAATTATGCAATGTAATTAGGCTTATAATTTTACATGCAATAACAAGCAGAGTACACAATACTATGTGTAGACAACTTGGTAGCAATTATCAAGAATGTAATCCATATGGATTAAGATTAGAAGGATCATCAAAAGTAAAATACTTTTTTAGAATAGTGGTATTTGTTTCTTTCATGTCTTTGCAAAGATACAATAATAGTATTGAATACTTGGTTTCAAAAAAGGAATTATACAACTTGAAAGATACAAATTCATTTCTTTGCATTACAACATTGTAAAAATCCACCATAAAATCCTAAAACCACCTAGTCGAGACTGAGTTTACCTTTCCTAGGGCTGAGCTTCTCATCCCCTTGTATATCTTGAGAGTTCTTCCCTGCTGTGGGACTCAACTCTGTCATAGTGGTAACTGTGTTCTTCTCTTCTGATGTCTGTTTTTCACCTCTCAGGGTGATGGAGTGTGATCCAATATATCAGGCATGAGAAAAGAGACTCCTTTAAAACACTTAAAAAATGAGCAACGGAAAAAATTAAATAAAAATAAAAAGTGGGCAACAGGCAAACAAAAGCTGGTGGGAGTCACTTGGAGTCAAGTAGTCCACCTGACCAGGAGCCACTCTCCTATCCAGCTACCCCTTTGGCAAAGTAGGGAGGGCCAAAGTAACCTAACTCTAATTCACATCTGGCTGAGTCTTGTCCAACATTTATTTACACTGTTTAACCTGTGATCAGAAGCAGCTTTGTTTCAGGAAGAATCTCAAGCTCTAGAATCAGAGGACCTCTGATACTTCTTAACTTTGCAATAGCAGGTGAATTAATAAAGATACCTCTGCCTCCGTTCCTTTATCTGTCAAACTACTGTAATGAATTTCATTAAATATTACTGACTATCAAAAAAAAAAGTTGGGCCATTCCATCTGGGTTGGTAGAAGAGGATCATCACCTATTCTTGGCTCAATACAACAGGCATACCTAAGGTTTGGAACTGTTTATTATTTAGGATCTAGAGTACTCACCAAGTGCCAATTTCACAGTGGTAGATTTGGAGCTTGGCGTTCCTTAGTTCATATCCAGGCTTGTGATTTACCTAATGCGCCAAGTGTTACCAGGAACAAATTTGTGTATTTCAGTTTCCCATCTGTTGTTAATAACAAGGACAACAACAGTGCAGCTGCAGCACCTTCATCAAGGATTTATAAGGATTCAATAGACAGTACATGGTTGCTATATGGTTTATTGCCATCATTGCTGGAGTTTATTTCACTCAGCATAATTACTTTGAGTTTCATCTATGCTGCCCATATTAATACTTCATTCCTTTTTATTGCTGAGCAATACTTCATGGCATGGTTATACCACAATTTGTTTACCCGGTCACCTTTTGATGAAAAATTGCATTATTTGCAGTTTGTGGCCATTAAAAATAAAGCTGCCATGAACATTCAAGCACAGGTCTTTGTTTAGACATGTGCTTTCATTTTTTCTTAAATACCTCTAAGTAGAATGGCTGGGTCATATGATAAACATATGTTTAACTTTTTAAGAAAATGATACATTGCTTTTCAAAGTGGTTGTACCATTTTACATCCTCACTAACAGTGTATGAGAGAGGTCCAGATCCACTACATACTAAACAGTTTGGTGTGGTCAGTCTTTTTAATTTTAGACATTTTGAAAGATGTGTAGTAATATCTCATCATGGTTTAATTTTTATTTCTATAATGAGGTGGAGCATCTTTCCATGTTTTCATTTGCTATCCATGTATCTTCTTTAGAGAGGTATCTCTTCAAATCTTGGCATGAGGCATTCTAATTCCCTGGTGTGGCCAGGACTTTCTAAAAATAGACCTTTTACACCTGAAACTAGCAATATTGTAAACCAACTATACTTCAATTTTAAAAAATAGACCTTATACACGTAGGTTAACTGCCCTGATTTTAAACGCAAATAGCGTTTGGGAGATACTTGACTAAATAATAAATATGTGGCCAGACGTATTGTCTTGTACAACCTGGCAATGATGAACAAGCATATGTTGTTTTTATTAACAGCTTTTCCCGATGTGTGATATTTATTCTCACTTCCATGTTCTGCTATGATGTCAGTCAATGTAACTCTGTGGTTACGAGACATTACCATCCCACTACTGTAGGACTATTTGGACTGGAACATTCTGAATGTCAGAGTACTTCCAGTTTTCTACTACTTCTATTCCAGACAACAGGGCATGCCTTGTCTTGGAAATCAGAGTGTCCAGTCTCAGCAGATGTGACCATGTACATGAAGATAATTCTCCCAGGAGACTTTATAAGCATTCACTCACACAGCTAAACAGGTGGCTGAGCATAGAGAGCAAATAGAGATCCACATAAGGGAAAGTTCTGAGAGCATTTGACTATCAAGGGAGTATCTGAATTTCAGGAAAGCTTGGTGACCTCAAGAAAGTTTTCTGGCTGGATGCCCCAGCAGTGAAGTTGCCAGGATAATTTCACTCCCATTAGCCTCCAAGGCCAAGGGGTATGCAAAAGAAAGAACATATATATCATATGTGTTTTCTATTTATATATGTGTTTACACCCACATGTACATTCACACATATTTTTTAACAGCTACCTTATTTCCCACTATTGGTCGAGAAAACCCTGCTGGTTGCCTGAATCTGAGATGATATGGCATAGTGAGATGTTTCTGGTTTGAAGTCATGTTCACAGGGAATCATTTTGAGGTTTACCTTCCTGCAGAGCCCCCTGGGTTTAAAGGCTGGGGGTGTTCTAATAATAGCATTGTGTCTACATATCTGAGAGGCCACAAAGACCACCCAAAACTTGTAACTTCTACATCCCTGCCTTGAGGATTCTCCCTGATCACCTCCTTCCAACTATCCTCAACCCACCTACAATTTTCTGGTGGCCCTGATGACTATACCATTGCCTCATCTATCCCCAACCATTTTTGTTTGGTTAAATTTCACACCATCTCACTGGTTCTGACTCAGCATTCCTCTAGATGCTGTCTTAGACCAGAGTCACCCCCAGTTCTGTCTTGTGTCAAAGTCCTGGACCCTAATTGATCTGGGTGGGAAACTAAGGCAATGAATTTGATTACAAAAGGCTGGAGTCCTTTAGGACACTGGGAATAGCCCTGTTGCTGCTGTGAATCTGCCCAGGAGAAAAATCCTGCACAACTTTAATGGGAGTGGGAGGGAATGAATTTTCATGTAAGAGACAGTGATGTGGTTGCCAATGCTTTCTTATCCAGAATGTTCTTTCACAACCACTCTATAGCTCTTCCTGTGTGTCCTACCAGCTGTTGCAACAACAGAAATTATGATAACCACAGTTATTAACTACTAACCCAGGCAGTTCACATCAACACCAGATGGAGATATTACTGACCCGCTTCATCCAGCTCATCCCACTGGTAAATGAAAGCTCTGATGTTTGTTCACAAGCCCCCAAATTGAATTCCCAAATCTCTGCCTTTAAACATTTCACTAGAGCACCTGTTTATTGGAAAGGTCTTCCACAGTTGGCATTTTCTCAAAGTTCTGGGTTATCAGGCACAAAACTTCAGCTTCCTGCTTCTACCTCTCTTCTGTTCATGTTATTAAGGAAATTGGGCTTTTATATTTCCACTCACTTTTTTTTTTAATCCATATGAGAAAACCTGAGACTTGGGGGCATATAAAAATTGTCAAAAATATACAACTGTTACACAGAAAGGACCCTTTGAGGTCTTTCACAGCAACACCAAGATAAGTGACTTACCGATTTAGTGTGAGGAAGGACTTCGATTTAGAACCTGCTCTCCCTTCAAGCTCTCACCCTCTACAACTTTGCCTGCAAGCAGCTGCAGATGCGTTGCCATCCTGGGGCTTGACTCGGTAATCATTAATGAGATTCATTAGACTAGAAGCTAAATGAGAAGGCGTCTTGCCAAGTGCCCTTTGGGAAAATGTGCCTTGAATATTCGGAATCTAAACCTCCTCTGCACTTTCGCCTGCTTATTCACCGACGTGAGATACTTGACTTTTCTCCTTGGGTTCAGTTCAGTTCAGTTCAGTCACTCAGTCGTGTCCAACTCTTTGCGATCCCATGGACAAAAGCATGCCAGGCCTCTCTGTCCATCATCAACTCCTGGAGTTTACTCACACTCATGCCCATTGAGTCAGTGATGCCATCCAACCATCTCATCCTCTGTCATCCCCTTCTCCTACTGCCTTCAATCTTTCCCAGCATTAGGGTCTTTTCAAATGAGTCAGCTCTTCACATCAGGTGGCCAAAGTATTGGAGTTTCAGCTTCAACATCAGTCCTTCCAATGAATATTCAGGACTGATTTTCTTTAGAATGGACTGGTTGGATCTCCTTGCAGTCCAAGGGACTCTCAAGAGTCTTCTCCAACACCACAGTTCAAAAGCATCATTTCTTCAGTGCTCAGCTTTCTTTATAGTCCAAATCTCATATCCATACATGACCACTGGAAAAACCATAGCCTTGATTAGATGGACCGTTGTTGGCAAAGTAATGTCTCTGCTCTTTAATATGCTGTCTAGGTTGGTCATAACTTTTCTTCCAAGGAGTAAGTGTCTTTTAATTTCATGGCTGCAGTCACCATCTGCAGTGATTTTGGAGCCCCCCAAAATAAAGTCTGCCACTGTTTCCACTGTTTCTCCATCTATTTGCCATGAAGTGATGGGACCAGATGCCATGATCTTTGTTTTCTGAATGTTGAACTTTAAGCCAACTTTTTCACTCTCCTCTTTCACTTTCATCAAGAGGCTGTTTAGTTCTTCTTCACTTTCTGTCATAAAGGTGGTGTCATCTACATATCTGAGGTTATTGATATTTCTCCGGGCAATCTTGATTCCAGCTTGTGCTTCATCCAGTCCAGTGTTTCTCATGATGTACTCTGCATATAAGTTAAATAAGCATGGTGACAATATACAGCCTTGACATACTCCTTTTCCTATTTGGAACCAATCTGTTATTCCATGTCGAGTTCTAACTGTTGCTTCCTGACCTGCATATAGATTTCTTAGGAGGCAGGTCAGGTGGTCTGGTATTCCCATCTCTTTCAGAATTTCCCACAGTTTATTGTGATCCACACAGTCAAAGGCTTTGGCATAGTCAATAAAGCAGAAATAGATGTTTTTCTGGAACTCTCTTGCTTTTCCAATGATCCAGCAAATGTTGGCAGTTGGATCTCTGGTTCCTCTGCCTTTTCTAAAACCAGCTTGAACATCTGGAAGTTCACGGTTCACATATTGTTGAAGCCTGGCTTGGAGAATTTTGAGCATTACTTTACTAGTGTGTGAGATGAGTACAATTGTGCAGTAGTTTGAGCATTCTTTGGCATTATCTTTCTTTGGGATTGGAATGAAAACTAACCTTTTCCAGTCCTGTGGCTACTGCCGAGTTTCCCAAATTTGCTGGCATATTGAGTGCAGCACTTTCACAGCATCATCTTTTAGGACTTGAAATAGCTCAACTGGAATTCCATCACTTCCACTAGCTTTGTTCATAGTGATGCTTCCTAAGGCCCACTTGACTTCACATTCCAGGATGTCTGGCTCTAGGTGAGTGATCACACCATCGTGATTATCTGGGTTGTGAAGATCTTTTTTATACAGTTCTTCTGTGTATTCTTGTCACCTCTTCTTAATATCTTCTGCTTTTGTTAGGTCCATAGCATTTCTGTCCTTTATTGAGCCCATCTTTGCATGAAATGTTCCCTTGGTATCTCTAATTTTCTTAAAGAGATCTCTAGTTTTTCCCATTCTATTGTTTTCCTCTATTTCTTTACATTGATCACTGAGGAAGGTTTTCTTATCTCTCCTTGCTATTCTTTGGAACTCTGCATTCAAATGGGTATATCTTTCCTTTTCTCCTTTGTTTTTTGCTTCTCTTCTTTTCACAGCTATTAGTAAGGCCTCCTCAGACAGCCATTTTGCTTTTTTGCATTTCTTTTTCTTGGGGATGGCCTTGCTCCCTGTCTCCTGTACAGTGTCATGAACCTCTGTCCATAGTTCATCAGGCACTCTATCAGATCTAGTTCCTTGAATCTATTTGTCATTTCCACTGTATAATTATTAGGAATTTGATTTAGGTCATACCTGAATGATCTAGTGGTTTTCCCTACTTTCTTCAATTTAAGTCTGATGTCATCAATAAGGAGTTCATGATCTGAGCCACAGTCAGTTCCTGGTCTTGTTTTTGCTGACTGAATAGTGCTTTTCCACCTTTGGCTGCAAAGAATATAATCAATCTGATTTCCATGTTGACCATCTGGTGATGTCCATGTGTAGAGTCTTCTCGTGTTGTTGGAAGAAGGTGTTTGCTATGACCAGTGCATTCTCTTGGCAGAACTCTATTAGCCTTTGCCCTGCTTCATTCTGTGCTCCAAGGCCAAATTTGCCGTTACTCCAGGTGTTTCTTGACTACCTACTTTTGCATTCCAGTCCCCTATGATGAAAAGGACATCTTTTTTGGGTGTTAGTTCTAGAAGGTCTTGTAGGTCTTCACAGAACCGTTCAACTTCTGCTTCTTCAGCATTACTGGTTGGGGCAGAGACTCGGATTACTGTGATACTGAATGGTTTGCCTTGGAAATGAACAGAGATCATTCTGTCATTTTTGAGATTGCATCCAAGTACTGCATACCCCTTGGGTATATCTCCTCAAAACCTCTGATGCCTTCTCTAGTTCAGACATCAGTGTGTGGTTTTTGCTTTGCTTTGTTGAATCTTCAATGATTTTAGTTTGCTTTTGAAAAAATTTAAAAAAGAAAGACAATGTTATAATTAAATAGTATTTTTTCCTTCCTTGTATCTGTGTCTTTTCCCTTTGAAATTTTGTTAATTTTTACCCTTTGAAATACTGAACTATAACATTACAGATTGAACTTCACTCTGTAGCTTTCCCTGGGTCCTTTTTCCTTTACACACACAAACACACACCCATAGGAACAAAAGCGAAAACATCTCACATAAATTTAGTGACATTTCTCCATATTTTTCTATTATAGGTGCATTCACAAACTATAAATTAATGCTTTGTATTATTTCTAAATTTGTGTACATGCTATTATATGCTATGAGCCATGCTATAAGTCACTTTGGGGAATAAACAACATGCATGTGGAACTGGGCTTCCCTTGTGGCTCAGCTGGTAAAGAATCCGCCTGCAATGCAGGAAATCTGGGTTAGAACCCTGGGTTGGGAAGATCCCCTGGAGAAGGGAAAAGCTACCCACTCCAGAATCCTGGCCTGAGAATTCCATGGACTGTATAGCCCATGGGGTTGCAAAGAGTCGGACATGACTGAGCAACTTTCACTTTCATGCGGAACACCTATATGGGCATAGTGAAAGCCAACCTCTCCCAATTTCTTTAGGTTGACTTGTTTTTATCTACATCCCTACACAGTTGAAAACATTCTCACTACTTTCCCAGTGTTCATGTGGTTCTGCTCGTCTTTATCTCAGTGATGAACCAATGCCTTCAGACCCCCTGCTTTATGTAGATGGTTCATTTCCAGCTCCTTGCATGCTCTGTGCTTGCAGCCCAGACACCTTTTCCTATGTGACATAGACTCAATCTCCAGCCATGGACTATTAACCCTAGTTCAACTCCTATGAGTTCTTCTGGCTTAGGTTCCCATTTGTCACTTTGATTTTAAGTTTCTTCTTAGTTCTTAGTTTATGGCCACTGAGGAGATCTCCTTTTTATTTTGAATTTGACCATTTACACCTATTCAGACTATATAGTGGGAAAGTAAACTATCTCCCAGCATTGTGGTGGAGAAGTGAGATCCTGTCAAAGTCTATCACTAAGATCAAGGATTCTGAAGGAGGTACCTGGGTCTTGGGGAGTCTGAACTACTACTTCCAATCATTTATTGTATGCCCTCCTCACAATTCTTTCAGGTAAATTTTATTAT